TTGACAACTAGTTTACGGTATTGTAAAGAGAGAGAGAGAGCAAGATAGTTATACCGCCGTGTCGAGGAGTGAACCAATCAATCACAAGGATGAATACCAATGAAGACCAATTACCTCGGAATCAAATGATGACACAATGATTTTTACCGAGGTTCACTTGCTTGCCAGCAAGCTAGTCCTCGTTGTGGCGATTCACTCACTTGGAGGTTCACGCGCTAATTGGCATCACACGTCAAACCCTCAATAGGGTGTCGTACAACCAACACAAGATGAGGATCACACAAGCCACAAGCAATTCACTAGAGTACCTTTCGGCTCTCCGCCGAGGAAAGGTCAAGAACCCTTTACAATCACCATGATCGGAGCCAGAGACAATCACCAACCTCCGCTCGACGATCCTCGCTGCTCCAAGCCATCTAGGTGGCGGCAACCACCAAGAGTAACAAGCGAATCTCGCAACAAAACACGAACACCAAGTGTCTCTAGAAGCAAACACTCAAGCAATGCACTTGAATTCACTCCCAATCTCACAAAGATATTGAATCTATGATGGAGATGAGTGGAAGGGCTTTGGCTAAGCTCATAAGGTTGCTATGTCAATGCAAATGGCCAAGGGGTGAGCTAGAGCCGGTCATAAGGCTTAAATAGAAGCCCCCACGAAATAGAGCCGTTGTACCCCTTTACTGGGCACAACATGGGGTGACCGGACGCTCCGGTCAGATCGACCGAATGCAGGACCCCAGCATCCGGTCGCCCGATGCTTGCCACGTGTCATCGGCTTCAAACGTTGATCGCTCGATCTCAACGGTCATCAGTACATTTAAGTAGTGACCGGAGGCACCAACACCAGCGTCCGGTCGTTTCAAGTAAGGTACCAGAAGCGAAAAATCACGACCGGACGTGTCCGGTCATGCCCGACCGGGCTCACCCAGCGTCCGGTCACTCAAAGTCTCCCCTGTGCACTGCATATGTGATCATATGTCATACTGGCCGGACTCTGGCCCTGAGCGTCCGGTCATGAGACCGAAATCGCACGCTCACTGCTGCCACTGACCGGACACGCCGGTCCTACCGAGACCAGCGTCCGGTCACTTACAGTGACCTCCGTTCACCTGGGTTTAGCCACCGGATACGTCCGTTACGCTTTGTGAAACCCTGTCTTTTCTATATAGTGTGCCGGTGGCACCGTCGGACTGTTCGTACTCTACGGGCGGACACTCCGCCGGTGAAGCTTCTTCCCTTGCTCAAATGTGCCAACCACCAAGTGTATCACCTTATGCACATGTGTGTTAGCATATTTTCACAAAATATTTTCAAGGGTGTTAGCACTCCACTAGATCCTAAATGCATATGCAATGAGTTAGAGCATCTAGTGGTACTTTGATAACCGTATTTCGATACGAGTTTCATCCCTCTTAATAGTACGGCTATCAAACCTAAATGTGATCACATTCGCTAAATGTTTTGATCACCAAAACAAAATGGCTCCTACCACTTATACCTTTGCCTTGAGCCTTTTGTTTTTCTCTTTCTTCTTTTCAAGCTAAGCACTTGATCATCACCATGGTATCGCCATCATCATGTCATGATCTTCATTTGCTTCACCACTTGGAATGTGCTACCTATCTCATGACCACTTGATAAACTAGGTTAGCACTTAGGGTTTCATTAATTCACCAAAACCAAACTAGAGCTTTCACCTAGACGCAACACGGCCGGCGCGGTGGCGTGGCCTCTCTCTCCCCAAGACGCGTGACGGCCACGATCCCCGGTGTGCGCTGCGCCGCCGCGGCTGGCTCCGACGTTTGTGACCGTGGTGCCCCCTCTGTTGCATTCATTTCTTGGCGTCTCCCAGGTGAAGCAAGACCATCCATCTCCTCTGTATTGATCCCATTGCAATCTCCTCTATGTGCCTCTTCTGGATTATAAGTGTGTGACAATGGTGCTATTTTATTTATTTAAGTCTGAGCATATGCCATTGCTGATGATGTCATGATGACTGTGAGGTGCTTTTAATATAGCTGAATATATTTTTGTGCCTTTGCTATTTTGCATTTTTTTGGTTGACCATATGTCAATGCCAATGATGCTGCAAACAAATATCTTTATCTGAAATATACGATGTGATTTTTGCTAACATGGACGGCCTGCGAGAAGCGGTCATGATTATCACTCTTTTATGATTTTTTGTTTTGTCATTGCGAGTGAGGTATTCATATATGTCAAACCTGAAAATATTTACATGCCATTGCTATTTTGCAATTTTTCCCGCACATGTCAGTGCCAATGTTGCTTGACAACAAATATCTTCTTCTCAGCTATACCATTTGAGAATATTCAGTCATGATTATCACTGTTTGTGTTTTATGATCTTTTTATTCTGGGGCATCTTCATATGTTTTCATGGATATTGCTTTCTACACTTCAGCTGCAGTTGTCGTGAGTTCAGGTTGGCAATGTTAGTGCAGAAAGTTTTGGCTGTTCCATTACGGTTTTACAATTGTGTTTCCCCCCGGCGCTTTCCATTTACAAATTGCGACAACTTCTCGAGCAGAAGCTCTACTTTGTGAAAAAATTTAGAATAATATTGCAAATTTGCCAGGGTCCGCTCATTAGCTATGGAAATTAGGTTTATCCTTTCTAACCAGAAATACAAGTACTGCTATCAGGTTAAAAAACTGATATAGTTTGTTCAAGTTATCTCAGAGTGTAACTTCTGTTTACTCATCTCCATCTTTTTTTTGGCCTTAAGGCCAACTACTCTGTATATGCCAGGTATCCCATTATCGCATTTTATCTTTTGATGCTTCTCTGTTATTATTGTTGTGCGTACATGTCATAAACCCTATCGACTGCCCCTCTATTGTGTTTAGGTGCATTCAATCAGATAGCAAGCAAAAGGTCAAAAAGGATGGACAGGTGAACAACTTAACTCTGAAATGCTTCTTCATTTTTCCCCATTTGCAGTTTAGTTTACTTATACGTTATACATAAATTCCTGTGAATTTTATACATTTCTTGCATATAGAATTAGTTCTGTTGCACTGAACTATTTTTCCATTAGAAACCCCCCCCTAATTAGATAGCATCAAACTAAAACATAGTCTAGTCAGTAGGCAATACCTTTCACTATCTTAAATGTGATTAAAGGTATGTTTGCAAGATATTTATAGTCTGGGAAAGTAATATTTGCTTTGGTTATCTCTCTCAGCGCCGCTTCATTGAGGGCACCTTGAGAAAGTTTATGTCTCGGGATGATTAGTATAGCTGTAGCCTACCTTATTTATGGAAGACGAAAAAATCTAGATTTTAGCATCTCAACAATTTTAAGGTATAAACGCCGTTATCTATACGGTTTGATTTCCATTTAATCGTCGGCGTGTGTAAAAGCGCACGTGATGGACTAGTACCTTATCATTTCGAAACCCGCAGCTACTCTTCCATATGCGTATAACCAGGCTGCCACCGTTAGGAGCCACCGAAGCATTGGACAACACTCGACTCCTATACAAAAGCAACCAGAAATTGATCTCCACCGAGACCCTAGAGACCTGACCCTTACAGATCCTTCACTAGCGTGGTAGAAAATGCTGCCACTCAGATCCTTCACCAGCGCCGGAGTAAGCGCCATCGAGACAAGGATATAATCAGAGGGACTTAAGGTTTGGTTATCTAGTCTGTAAAGTTTTGAGGTGTCACATTGAATATTAGACATAGTGTCGCATGAGGTGTTTGAATACTAATAAAAAAACAAATTACAGAATCCGTCAGTAAACCATGAGACGAATTTATTAAGCCTAATTAATCTGTCATGAGCACATATGTTACTGTAGCACTTATTGTCAAATTATGAACTAATTAGGCTTAAAAGATTCGTCTCGCAAATTAATCACAAACTGTGCAATTAGTTATTTTTTTAGTCTATATTTAATACTATATGCATATGTCGAAACATTTAATGTGACCAGTTGTAAAGTTTTGACGGGAAACTAAACAGGGCTTATTACATGGCTCTGACGACACCACCACCTCGCCATCGCCTGCTGGACACTAATCTAGATAAACTAGGACCTAATCGACAGTTCTACACCACCGGCTTGGGAGAGAAACGAGAGGAATGGGAGATCAAGGTTGATTATAACCATCCGACGGGCAGACCGCAGGCCCGACTGGCCTGATCCGAGTCCGAGCCGTAATAAAATGCTAAAATGCTATCGCATTGGATTTCGTCTGCACAAAGAAAATTTGCTCGCAAGTTTATTGCCTCAGTTGTTCACGTTTTTGGCATTTTGCTTACTCACATTACTCAAAATCGACCCAGGAGGGTAAAAAGTTAAATCTTATGCCTCAAGCCGCTGGACTGGACAGATCAACAAAATGCAGGCACCACAAACAGAAAGATGCTAGCCCAGAAAACTATCGACCCAGGAGGGTGAAAAGTTTAAATCTTATGCCACAAGCCGCTGGACTGGACGGATAAACAAAATCCAGGCAACACAAGCAGAAAGTTAGCCCTATACTTCGAACGTTCGTATCTGGATGCTACATCTCAGCAGTTGGCAGTGTATTAGGGGCTGTTTGGATGGCGCCCTGGCCTAGGGGCTCTCGCCCAGGCAGGTGCATCCAGCCCAGGCACTCGAAATCGAACAATGGAATGCCAGCACTAAAATCAAGCGATGCTTGGCCCAGGCAAGATTCAGGTCAGGAACCAAACAGCCCCTAAAATCCCAATGCCCACTGGAATGCATTCATGCAAGCACTAAAATTTCCAGGTCAAGGACGTGAAGTTTGGTCGTGAAGCAGAGAACCAACACTAGGCATGCCTCGTAGATAATTATCTTTGTGCCATTAGATGCGATAATGTGCAGCAGGATGCTTCATTTCTAAAGACACTAGAAAAAGTACTCAATTTTTTCCACAACTGAATGTAATATAACACCATCAGATGCAGTGAAGAAACAAGAAAAAAAAGCTGGAGGCAGTAATTCCAAAAATCAGAATTATTCTTGGCTTGCACCGTTTGTCGCCTCCATGGGATCTGCTTCTGCTGCATCTCCTTTCTTGCCTATATTCATGTATTAACAAACAACTAAGTACAAAGAATTATACAAAATAAACAAGTATAGACAAAAGGTACAAGAGTTGCGTAACACAACATTCAAAACAAATTAGCGTGTAACTAGTTTATCAAGAAAACCAAATCAGCATGCAGCTCAGGAGCAACAAAATAATGAGCATTGTGTCCTGTGTACATGAGACAAACCTTTCTTCTTCTTTCCACCACCCTTCTTCTTTGATTTTGTCCCCAAAGCAAGCCATGCCTTTATCTCAGCATTGTCTTCAATGGATTTTGTGGGCTGTAACTCCTGTAGTGGATGTGACGTAATCTTATCTGATCCATTGGGCATCAGCAGCACAGTGAACTTTATGTGTGCAACAAGATCACCTACATGATGCAACCACTTAATATGATGGCTGTTACAATAATCCAATAGGTATGCTGACATTAGAAGTTTGAATTGCGTTCAAAAAACATTAGAAGTTTGAAGAAATTGCAAATAAGCACATAAATCAATCTGCACCAGAAGCTCACAAACCTTACAGGGGTTTCTATAGACCCAATGTGAGAAGTTACGGTATGTTGAAAAACGAATTAAAGCAGTCCAGTGGTTATATTTAGGGAGTAGGGTATATCTCTACCTGGCTTCTCATGAAGTACAGGGTACGGCTGCAATAGCTCATGGTTCATGCATTCCACCAAGCCTAAGCGTGCACGCTTCTCTTCTAATGCCCTATAGCAATTCATAAGCTCATGTTTCAATAGACAACAGAGGTAGAACAGTCAAAAATTCAAAATTCGTTGTGCAGTCACAAACCTAGCAGTAAAAGGCATGATTGGGAACTTCTGGCTGATCTCACTGAAAATAAACCTTGACGCTTTCATCTTCAAGTGATAATTCTTGTCTACAGCCCTTTTGTAGATGGTGGTCTGCTTCTCATCCAATAGCTTGGGCTGCCATGAATATTCAACAAAAGTGTGATCAAACAGGGGAAAAAAGGAGGATCATATGCAGATAACAGAAATTCTTACCTTCCCCTCCCCAGTGCTGGTGACAATATCGATGGCATAGACTTCATTTTCTTCAAAGTCAGCATCATCAACCTTTGTATCAGCATTGGAGACACTGAGAACAACTTTGTTACCATCAATCACAAATTGTTTCAGTTGATGGCTAAGAACACCTTCCACAATTTTGCAATCATAAGCAGCAGCAACTTTCTGAATTGCTTCAGTAACATCCTTATTCTGAAAATATATTGAGTGGGGATTAGTAATGAAACGAACAAATCAGTACGCACCCACAAAATGAGAAAGGAAATACTTATTTAGGTCACCACTTCAAACATCTTTCAAAGATACTTAGGGAGACAGCAACAATAATAGATAAAATATAACTTGTGAAAGAAAAAAAAACTTAGGGCTTTGTAAAACATTTATACCTTCTTCCCAGGTCTTACAAGTCGCATAGCAACTTCTGCTGCTGTGTCGGCAGCAGCAAGAACATCAGCTGCTCTTCCTGTGACAGGCCCATTTGCAATTACATGTGTATGTGCCACCACAGCAATAAAGCCATCAATATGACAGCCCATATCACTGCAAAAGGAAAACAAAATTGTTGAGGTCCACAGCAATATCTGCAAAAAGGCGTTATAAAAATAGTTGCAGCAAGACAATTACATTTTAACCATATCATTTTCTTCAAGAACTGCATCATCTGTGGCAAGTGGTGAGAAGTGGCAGACAGTGTTATTCACGGATACACAGGTTGGGAAAGCAATGCCCCTTTCAATCTTCCTCTTTGCATTCTTGTAGACATTCCCAGTTTGCCTATTCCCAACAATGAGCCCAAAGTAAGGATGCAAATTAGCAAGAAAGTAGCAATCAAGAGCAATAACACAGATAGATGTATTACTCTCTTATGAAAGAATCGCCCTTCTCACAAAGGTCAACAATCTTCGCTTTTGGCTTGCACTCAGACACAACCAGCTTCAGAGCATCTGTTGCAAAGGTGGTAAAACAACTTTAGCATTTCATTTCTGATTAGTATGCATCGTCAGGCCAAAGTAAGAACAATTACTATCAGTTTAGCATTTCATTTCTGATATTAGTATGCATCATCAGGCCAAAGTAAGCACAATTACTATCAAGTGCACTTCTTGAACAAACTCAACATACATACAAAATAGATAACAGATAAAACTTCCAAAGAAAATGGGGCAACCAAAGTGGTGCTAACATCCAAGTAAAAGCCTCCTCTGCAATCCAGAACCACTGCTACCAGTATAGACAGCATGGTCAATATGAACGCCATTTGACATATCAAATTCCGCTTCTCAAAACTGTAACGGGAAATCCATTTACTCACCCAACAGCTAAATCCAGCTACTACTAACAATTCACAAAGACTGCCAAACATCAAAATTGAAGAACAGCTAACGAATAACATAAGCCAGCGGCAACAAATACTAGAAAAACTAGACAATCTCCACGCACCCTGCTGGACCGCAGATCAACCGCAAGGATGGGTGATAAGGTTAGAAGGGGGCGATAAGGCGAGGTTACTTACTGTTGAGGATTTCGGCGGCAGCCTTGTACTTAGTGACGACGTCGTTGGAGGAGAGGTCGAGCTCCTTCTCCTCCCTGACCTCATCGTCCGACGACATCTGCAGCACACACCAACACTCAAAGCAATCAGTAATGGCGACAAAGTGACAGGAAACAAACGAAACAGGTCGAATCGAGCCCGAGGACCATGGAAGGGGACGGAAAAAACTCACTGCTTCAATCCGAGGTGGAAGTCGGCGGCGCTGGGAGGGGGCCTCGGGGCGGCGTCGGAAGTGGTGGCGGCGGTGGCGGCGGGTGAGAGGTTTAGGTTTAGGGTTTGGGCTCGGGAGGCGGATTAGAAATGTAGTGAGGCAGCCGGGTCGGGTGAGGCGGCGGCGTTTGGCTAGGGCTTAGAGGGGAGGAGGGCGTATCACTGGCCAGTGGGTCCGGGAGATGGTCAGTGCGGCCAGTGGGTCGCTGAGAGGTGGGACTGGTCCTGGGCCCTGGCCTCCTGGGCCGTGCTGCGTGTGGGGCTGGACGCTGGACTTACAGGTGGGCCACAGGCCACAGAACGGTGCGGCCCGACCAGAGCAGAATCCACGTGTGGGGAACGCTTGGACCGCGTCACCGTCTTTGGCTCATTGCGCAAACGTCACGGAACGGGGACCGGGCACGGAAAACGGAATAGGACAATGCATACTACTCCCTCCGTCCCAAATTATAAGACGTTTGACTTTTTTGTCCCAAGTTTGACCACTCGTCTTATTCAAAAAATTTGTGCAAATATAGTCAAATTTAAGTCATTCTTGAAGAATTTTTATTAATAAACCAAACCACGACGAAAGAAGTGATATTTTACATAAATTTTTGAATAAGACGAGTGGTCAAACTTAGTGTCAAAAAAGTCAAACGTCTTATAATTTGGGATGGATTAAGTACTTATTTGGATGGACCGGAGCGGAAATCAAAATGGTTCACTGGTCTAGGGTTGTTTGATCCGGTGACTAAAATTTAGGATGTGTCATGTGAAGATGTTGTATGAGATGTTCGAATACTAATAAAAAAATAAATTATAGAATTCGTCAGTACTTCACGAGACGAATTTATAATTTATTAAGCCTAATTAATCCGTCATTAGCACAAGGTTACTGTAGCACTACATTGTCAAATCATGATCTAATTAGGCTTAAAAGATTCGTCTCGTAAATTAGTCGCAAGCTGTGCAATTAGTTTCGCAATTAGTATATATTTAATACTTCATGCATATGTCCAAACATCCGATGAAACAACGACTAAAGTTTAGGAGGAGAAACCAAACACCCCCTAAGAATGGGTTGAAGCACCGGTTCAATAGTTTTAGCAATTGAATTGAACCACCCACAAACCACTTTAAACCGGTGCAATATATGAGGTGTTTGGAACTGCTTCGGTCCACGTTTTTTTAGCTCCGCTTTATGTCTTTAGCCAAATGATTTTAGCTTCACGCATTTTGTTCAAGAAAAAAAAGATAGAGTTATAAGAGCACCTATGGGAGTGCTCTTTAAACTTTAGGTTTTTATGGAGCTGCTCCATGGTGAAGTTTATGGAACAGTCCCAAACATCCCTATAATGACATACATACAACAGATAATTAACAACATATACAAATAAAATGGTGGAAAATACAATTATCTAACCAGCTTCAAACTAATCTAGCTACAAGTCCACAACATGTAGCGTGAAATCAGTGTGTCCGTTGGCTGTCCTTAACTCAAATAATCCAATCACCAAAAGATAATAAAACGATAGCATTTAATAGAAAGGTCTTAATATAACAAGTTTCACAAGTTGTTATGCTCTAAAGTGTTTTACAAGATATGTCAATCTTGTGTATGAAAAGATAATGTATGGTGCACTTACAGATATAGGTGCAAAAAGGACTTGAATAGTAATTCAAATTTCCATATTGCAAAACAGATATCAAATGCTAAAATACAGTACACTATTAAAAGAGAGAATTTCTTATTGTGCCCTGATTGAAACTTGCTTTTCTTCTTTGGCCCCGGAACAAATTTTCTTACCTATTTAGCCTCACTTTAACTTTTGATTTCTAATCTGGCCTTACTGTCAGCTGCGGCCTCTAACGGTGTTAAGTGATATATGAAATGACCAACTTACCCCTCATATATTATAAGGAACCAAAGAGCATTTGTGGGGTTTGGTGATTGATTGTTCCAAGCTAATTTGCCTACTCAAAGTTGTTTATAGTAGCGTTTGCATCACAATGCCAGCAGCGGTTCCAGGGCCATGGAAAAAAAGCAACACGCTTTCCTTTCCACAACCATCGCCAAAAAAACACGAGCTCCGCTCGGTCTGGACTCCACCACCGCTGCCTACCGCACGCGGCCCCTAGCAAAGCCGCGCCTCCCACAGAGCCTGCCGCTGCGCCTGGCGTCCACCACCGCTCGCGGCCCCATCAGTGCCTCGCCATCTACCGCCCATGCCCTGGCAAAGCCGTGCCTGGCGTCCGTGCGCCGCCACCTGCCGTGTGCCGCCCTTGGCCCCGGGGGAAATCACACCTGCCTATTTTGCTTTTCCATTTGTTGATTGTCATTGGCGATGTGTTCAAGAGCAGTGCATTAGATCTAGGACAGACCCACAGCTTGTGTAACGAGCAGATAACTGGGTCATCATCTTCCTGGCGGCCAGCAATGTCAGCCCATTGCATATTTCTGAGTCCAGCTCCTAGCAGTAGATTCGTGCTTCGCACGGTCAGTCTTGTACATGTGAGCCATCTCTAGGATCAATGGATCATCAGGGTTTGGGTCCGTTAGAAGGGAACTGAAAGTGCATCTAGCCCTTTAGTGAGTTTTGGATGATTGAATGACAACACGATTAAAGGACTAACATGTTTGCTAAGTGTTAGACAGGAAATTAATTATCTCACAGATACTTGATGAAATTGTATAAAGCCAAAAGTGATGTATTGTTGTATAAACAATCTAGTTCAAGCACAAGACAACAATGCAAATGAAATTCATGCAAAGGTTTATTTATTGTGGGATTTCAATGATCTATGTGAAAGCAAGCACGATAAGAGTTAATTAATGAGACATGAGGGATTGCATATGGAATGGTCTCATATTTGAAGCTTGCTAAATTGAAATGAAAAAGGCAACAATATAAATGAATGGTTAATTTAATACAAGATGTGACTTGACGGCTTGAGATGGTGAAGATAGTAAGAAAAGGCTTCGAGGTACTAAGCAAGGGTGAAGGGCAAGCGACGGCTTGATGGTCGAGAAACCTAGCTAGGGTGAAGAAGAAAGTACTTGCATTTAGTTGAGGTACTAATCAAGCTATGATGGTCATATTGATGTGGATGATCAAATCTATATTGGACAAGTTGATTAAAGTGACTTGATGCATTTAGAGTTATTCATATTTGATGAATGGAATCAAGTCATGTGCTCAAGATGGCTATGCTCAAGTGATAAGATCAATATTGACATGTTGGCACCCTCACTTGATGAAGATTGAAAGACACGGCATCAATTTAAAGAAGATCAACTCAAAAGGTTTAATTTCATTTTTCTTTTGATCTTGAGTTAATAGGTATGCCATACTATTAAGAGGGATGCAAGTTTAAGTGGTCTGAGGAAGATAGAGTGCTCAAGCATAATAATTAAATCAAAAGAGAGACACTCTAGCACTTCACGAGCACATAGAATAATTTTCTATGACTGTTAGTGTCGGAAGTCCTGACGTAAGCTGGAACTCTCGATAGTCGGAAGTCATGACTCTTGCCAAAACTGCTGACTCCCAGTCATAGCCTGCGTGGTGACTGTGGACGTCGGAAGTCCCAACGTGAGTCGGAACTCCCGACAGTCGGAAGTCCTGACCCGAGCCGGGAGTCTCGGCATCGGTGGTTCTACTGACCTGCTGTCTGTGCCCGTCGGAAGTCCCAACGTTCATCGGAAGTTCCGACCGTCGAAAGTCCCGACGTTCGTCGGAAGTTCCGACCGTCGGAAGTTCCGACCGTCGGAAGTTCCGACTGTCGGAAGTTCCGACCGTCGGAAGTCCCGACGTTCGTCAGAAGCTCCAACGTTGGCTGTCTCGAGTGGACTTTGACCTCGCGTGAACAGTGTTTTCTTCCTACGTCGGAAGTCCCGAGATCTGCGTTGGAACTTCCGACGTAGATCTGAACGGTTAGATTTTGCCTTGGAGTATATATACCCCTCTCCTCCTTTCTAACCGTTGCCCACTCATTTCATTGCGACGAACACTCGGCCAAAACAACCTCAAAGCATTCTAGGCTCGCCACTCTTCACTCCTTTGCTTCCAACTTCAATTCCTAAAGGGTTTGAGTGTTTGGAGAGTGGATTGAGAGAGAAAATCACTTTGAGCAAGCTTGAGCACTTGATTTCTTCGTCAAGCCGGTTTGATTTGCATTTGTTACTCTTTGGGATTTTCCCCTAGCCGGCTAGGCGTCGCCCAAGAGCTTCCATCTTGTGGAAGAGCCATGGGAAGTTTGTATTACCCTTGTTTTCTAGTGAAGAAACTCAAGTGACCTTTGTGGTATCCTTGAGTGAGGCAAGGAGGTGGAAGAGACTCCGACCAAAGTGGTCACCTCAACAACGAGGACGTAGGAGCTCCTTTGTGGGGCTACCGAACCTCAGGATAAATTCTTGTCTCCCGCGTGCTTGTTGTTGTTGTGATTTGCTCAAAATTACTTGTATTTGGTTGTCTCCCTCTCTCTAGCTATTTCTTAGGGTTTGGGACTCGATCTACGGAGTGGTGGCTTATCAACGTCAAGAGAGTGTCCCAACACCTTACCTTACCACTAGGAAGTGGGTTTGTAAGTTATCGGCATCACAAAGTTCATTTTAGCACTTGCAGTTCATTTCCCGTAGGGGTCAGAAGTTCTGACCCAAACGTTGGGACTTCTGACACGTCGGAAGTTCTGACCCAAACGTCGAGACTTCTGACATGTCAGAAGTTCTGACCCAAACGTCGGGACTTCTGACATTAACTAACTAGTGCATTTTGATTCAACCCTTCGGTTGCTGCTGTTTGGCTCACTAGGTTTATCTAGTATCTTTTATATACTTTGTGGCTAACTTGTGAGGGGTGGTATTACTCTGATTTGAAGTTTCCATTTTGAAAACTCCTATTACTAATCGTTTCCTCTTTTAAAGGTGTTGATTTTTTAGAAACGCCTATTCACCCCCCTCTAGGCGGCATCCTAGATCCTTTCAGGAACAAATTGAGAGGACCTGAAAATTGTGGGCATGTATTAGCTAAAGATGCAAACTAGAAAATTTGACAGATAAGTGTGCAGGAGGTTAGTATGTTTTGGTTAATCTGCAGAATCTGCTAGATGATCCCAACTTCTTAAATAGGCTACACTAGAGTTATCTTGAAGTAGCTTGTAGCAATGTTACATGGAGAAGAGAATAAATACTAACCTTAGAAACTGTCAAAGCAGGGCTCCATTGTTCCTTCAAGATATCAAGACAGATGCTCCCATTGCTGTTGATATTCGGATGGAAAACCTTTGTCTTGAATGCAACCTGCAAAATATAATAAATGATGAGCACACAGACAGGTATTTCAGATTCAGTTGGATTGCTAATGCGCATGTGTAGATAGAGCTAAATTTTGCAAAGAACAAGGTTGGTTCTCACATTAAACATGCTAAATCAAACCAGTGGTCCAGTATAGAATGGAATGGCAAAATAAAGAGCTAACAATTTCACAGAAATCATAGTATGCGTGCACATATTATAACATGTCATGGACAGTGTCGATATTTGTTGACAAGCAGCACATAAGTGTCAAATTCAGAATTAGTATGAGACGTTCCATGCCAGTAATTCTTCTAATTGGGATCTAGCCATCTAGGAAATAAGTGGACAGCTGGTGTAACAGGAATGGGGGTCCAATAATTCATATGAACTAACGTGCATAAACAAATGGAAACTAATTGCTAGTTCTGTGTACAAGTACAACTGAAGCCGGTTGTTATGTACATACATCAGCATACTAGATTTGCTAGTGTCACAGTGAAGGGGCTGATGGCCCTGGAAGGACTCAGCAGGTTTGCATGCTCAAGTACATGACTACCATGGTGCGTGAGCGCTGCACTTATCTAAACAACAACGGCTTGCTTGATGCCGACAAAATTACTCAACCCGTCTGAACAGAAAGGTGAATTTCTTACTGGCAGGACGATGTAACTGCCCTGTGCAACCCTGATGCAGGAACCTGAACATGACAAAAAAATGACCAGCAGGAGGCAGGCCCCTCTCCGGATCTAATAAGCAAACCTAGAGGGACGGCATGAATGAACACCCGTATGTCCAAATGAACCATATAGAGTTATAGACAAGCTACAGTCATTTTCCTAAATTACACAATTACACAACACATGCTCGTTATCCCACCAACAACCTACACCGTTCAAAATTTACAATCACTATTTACAACCGTCCCAGTGCATGTATACGTAGATCTGGCAACTACGCATGAAGAATCGCACCGCGCTGACAACGAAACGCAAGGAAGAAGTCGTCTCCCATCATGGAAAATTCAAAAAAGTAAAGTTGTAGCAGTGAAAGAGGAAGGGCGGGCGGAATCTAAATCACCTGCGGTGCATGAGGTGGGCGAATCCTTTTGCAGGTCCTTGAGGATCCGCTTCGACGCCATGGATCCGGTCTCCTCCTCGCTAAATCACACCTACCTCCCCGCACACGATTGTCGTTGGCCTCCATTCAGCACGAGCTGGCGCCCCTAGTGCCCAGCATGCGCTGCTCAGGCCGCCGACTAGCGCCCAGGCCGCACCGCCCCTAGGTCGTGCCACGCCGCCTTGTGCCCTGGCTGCGCCGCTCGGCCTGCCGCCCCGCCGCGCGCCAAGTCGCCACCGCCGCTGCTAGGGTTGAGAAGGGAGAGTGGGAGGGAGACGTGATAGATGGAGGAGATGACACGAAGGAGAGACATGTCTGACTCCTTGGCTCTGTAATATCCTAGGGACATTTTTGTCAGTTTAACAAAAACCTAACAAATCAATCTTGATCAACTTGGACGGAGGTTACGGTAAGGCCAGATTAGAAATCAAAAGTTCAAGTGAGGCCAAATAGATAAAAAATTTATTTCAGGGCCAAGAAAGAAAGATAAGTTTTAATTAGGGCCAAATAAATTTTTTTCTCCTATTAAAAAGAGCTGGTTGAGTTAATCAAAGTAGATATATTATGAGAAAATTGTGTTCTTGCCCTTATCCAATATTTCAATTGTGATTTTGCCTCTATTTTTTCAACTTTGTGTGTTTTATCCTTGTTATTTCAAAATGAACTCTCCGTTTGCCCCTACTTTGGATGTCCGTTGGATGGATAGGGAATAAATGAATTAAAAAAAATTCTAAAACTAGAAAAGCAAAGCGAAATGACCACACTGTCCCTTATCCTTATCTGGCTCTTCCTCATCCAAAGCAGACTACATTGAGCGGGCGGCATCGGGAGCGGGGGTATCGGGCGGCTCCGTCGGTGGCGGCGCATCTGGCCAAGGCGCGCAGTGCGGCGGTGCCTCCCGGCCTCTGGGCTCGTGCGCGGCGGCTGTTCCGGGGCGAGGGGGCGCACACGCGGAGGTGGCCACGGCTCTCGTCGTGCGCGCGTTGGCGGCGGCTATACCCGGCCGCGGGTCCCGACGGCGCCTGAGCGCCCGCCGTGCGGGAACCCTCCCCTCCCTCCGCGTCCTCCACGTGCTCCTCCTCACGGACCGCCAGGGCCTCCTCCTTGGCAGCCTTCGCGCAAGGACCAAACTACTCAGCTGCTATGCGACACTGGGCGACATCGCCTCTGCGTGGATGGTGTTCAACGGCACCCCACGCCCGGACCTATATAGTGTGCTCCTACGGGGTCATGCTCCGGTGTCTAGTCCAAACGGAGGGCCACGCAGAAGCTGTCGCGCTGCACCAGGACATGCGGCGGCGGCGACGCTTCCCCGAAGCGTGGGATGACTTCGTGCTGTCGCTCGCGCTCAAGGCCTGCATCAGGTCCGCGCAGTACGGGTACGGTAGGAGGCTGCACTGTGACGCCGTCAGAGCCGGCGGCGCAGACGGCTTCGTATTGAACAGCTTTTGGTTGACATGTACGCGAAAGCCGGGGACTTGGAGTGCGCCCGGAAGTTGTTCGAGAGAATTCCCAGACGAAATGTGGTGTTGTGGACCCCGATGCTCAGCGGGTGCGTCCAGAATGGTTTTGCTGCAGATGGATCAGTGATCAAACAAGGCTTAATGTCTAACTCATTTATCAGTGCAGCCTTGCTGGATATGTATGTCAAGTGTGGGGAACTAGAGGATGCCCAGTGTGTGTTCGATGAATGTGGCACAGAACGGGAACCCTCCTGATGCCTTGCTGGATATGTACGTCAAGTTGTGCCAACTATATTTGACCAAATGTAATCATTTTTGTCAGCATACAATCCCTACTATAATGGAAAACGTCCCCTTATAATGGAAAACGTCCCCTTCTGAAAGTCCATAACCATCTTTTTCTACTATAATGGACCAATCAAAATTATACTAGGTCCCTCGAGAAAAACATCCCCCGCTGAGAGTCCCTAACCATTATGTACCTAGAAAAATACACGTAGGAATTCATCTCTATTAAAATTAAGGGCTTATAAAACATCTCAACCAAATCTAATGGTGATGTGTGATTGCAGGCTTCTCACCCGGCTTCTCACCCCCGCGCCGTCAGCCTTCTCACATAGCCTCCCCGCATGTGCCTCCGCCTCATCACGCGAGGCTTCAAACACGCCCCATGTGGCCTCGCCCCCGCCCCCGCCCATCGGACAGGGTTCGATTCGTGGCTTGTCCTTTTCTTTTTCTCGAAAAAATGAAACATCCTCCTGCTCTCACCTCCCCTCCCAGTCCGTGACTCGCCACACCTCACTGCGATGCCGCTCCCCAAACCCTAGTTATCCCGCGATGCTGCGTGCGCTGCAGCAGTAACAGCACACCTCGTCGCGGGACGCCGCGGGAAGGCGCCCCAAGAAGCGACGCGTGGGGACGGCAACGGGGATGAGAACGATCCATCCCTAAACTCGAGTCCCGACGACGCCGTGCTGGCTGTCCCTGCCGCCGAGGAGACCAAGCCCGCGATGCCCGCCGAGGCGGCGGTGACGGAGAAGAAGCAGAGGGTCAACCCCGGACCCGAGTCATCCAGGCCGCTGCGGCGGAGCACGCTCTAGGCGAAGGTGGCCGAGATGGAGGAGCACGAATGTAGGTCGTGCTCCAGGCACAGGGAGGCCTCGTGGAGGTGGAGAAAATGGGATACCTCCGTACCTGTATCCTGCGTCGGACTCTCCTGCGTCTGTGCGCAGATGCGTGCCTCTCCTTCGATTTGATGCCTGTGCAGGTGGGATTCATCTATTTCTTTACGATTTGATTTGATTCCCAGTATGCTCTTGCGGTTCTAAAGCAGTGCCATATTCTCGACCCTGTCAATGAAACTTGAAATATCTCACTGTTTAGCCCCCCTGAATTCATCCTGAACTTCAGACCCTCCTCTGAATCTCGCATTGCTTCTGCACCACCTACGTCAAAATTGCTCTGACTTTGTTAATTCATTTTAGTGCCTTTTTAACTGAAGTAATTTGTTTATTAATTTGATAAATTTGGGTTTAACTGTACACTGCAGGATAGTAAAGTTTTATTCATAGTTAACATATTTTCTTTAGCGTGTTTCAGGACGAATGCCTACAGAGGTTACAGAACCGGATAGAAGTTCAGTATAATAGTGTAAACCGAGAGCATCAGGTACTTGGTGGTTGTTTGACTGGGATGTAGCCTATTAACATCAGGGCACCACTGCTTGCTCATAAATTGATTATTTTATCATCACGATGGTTTCCTGATTTTCACTTGTTCTACTTCTGCAGCTTATGATTGTAGGTTGACGGTACGTACTCTGGAGGTTGGCATTCAATTGCGCTAGCTAAAGAGGGAGAGGTATTTCCATTATCTCCAATTAAGGCTTACCATTCTATAGTACGTTGTTCTGTTCTATCAAGCCACCAGATGGCATGATCCCCATGCCATCTACAAGGATCAGGCTATGATTATATTGTCTCTTTATCAATATTATTTTGCAGAAAAAGATAGAAAAGGAAGAAAGTTTCACATAGAGCAGTTTTTTTCTTACAAAAATATACCTGCTTGCATCAGATACATTGATACCTGAATGTGAACTGTATGATTGTACCAAATAAAAATTGTATGTCGTTCTTCAATATACGGTTAAGAATTCTGTAAAACATTCTAGATATAGACCCTGGTTTAAGGATCCACCTTTAATTTTCAATATGTTATCCAAGAAAAAGAAAGTAGAAGTCCTCCGGAGGTCTGCCAGTAACTTTGCTTTACCATTTTGGTTCAGAGACAAAGCAAGTGTTGCTTGATTGGACGAGATTGCAGAAAAAATATTAGGTGCTCAATTTGAGTTATTTTTTTGGATTTCTCCACATGGTTAAAGTATTCAGCCTCCCTAAAAGTTTATTTGCTCTTGTTTAGTGATTATATTCAGAATATGGTTTCCTGATTTTTTAATAAAAAATGATGCAGGATTTGAATAAAGGCAATGCTGAATTTTGACTAAAGATGAATTTTGAATTTCCTAATGGAACTATCTGTGTGGAGGGGTTTCAAATTTCCTAATGGAACTATCTGCTATGCATATGCATATATATGTGAAGGGGCTGGTTGGGCAGCTATCCTCTCTCTCATTTGTGTGGTGTTGAGAGGAGGTTAGGGTTAGAGAGAGAGGAGTGGCCCTTGTTCTTGAGCTTTTTGCCATCTTAGATTTGATTTTGTTAGGAGTGGCTTGTAAACCGACATCTTGAGTTAATCAAAGGATCAAATTCATGCTCCACTTGTTCCTTTCTCCAAATCAGAATTTTATCTTTTTTCTGTCCTTTTCGGAGCTATTTTGGGATTTTTCGTTCTTGCGTTTTGGATGTGATTTGGGGCAAATTTCTTGGGGCAAATCGGTGCTAGGACATGTAAGAATACTTCTTGGCCATCAACTCATCCAATCCCCTCAGGAGCACCTCTGATTTCGGATTTCCCCCAAAATTTCCCATTTTCTAGGGTTCTTTGAATTTTTTTCAAGAATTTATTTGAACCCTTCTAAGTGCTTCTTGATCTTGAGCTGAACCCCATCCATTTTAGCATTGCATTTGCATCATGTATCATAAGAACATCTTGCATTTAGATGAGCTTCCTTGTATATCCTTAGCATTTTCTTGTGCTAAGATTGGATGCGTGCTTTCTGTAGTAGAAGTGTAGCAAGATGTGCAAGCTTAGTCTCACTTTGATGCTTTGACATAAAATCTATGAAGCAAAGCTTGTTTTTTAAAATTTAACATGAGTCTATAACTGCAACCTAAAAAAAATGTTCATCGTGGAGTAGATACTTGGCATGAGTAGGGCTTATATTATGCATATTGTAAATTAGATTATTGAGGCGAGAGGTGTTTTCTGGATGAAACACATGGTTATATATAATTGTGTGAAATGGAACTATGAAAAAATATTGTCGTTTCATTGTTTTCATGTGTATCCTTGAAATAAAACCATGGCGTTAGCATGGACACTATACTAGTATAAATATATAATTCCAAATTAGGGGTAAAATCACAAATAGGCATAA